AAAATAATTTTAAAATAAATTTTTTATTTTTCTTGTTTTTTTAGCCAACAGGTTCTTTTAAAAACGATATAATAATAGTACCTATGGATTTAGGAATATTTTTTGAAAAATAACGTCTTTTAAAGGTTAAAAAGACGTTTTTTTATGATTTAATTTAGGTTATTTGAAAACGTTTTTTAAACGTATTTTTTCAGAACGTTTTTTAAACGACTTTTTTAGAACGTTTTTTAAACGCTCTTTTAAAAACGTTTTTTAGATATTGCCATTCTAACGTTTAAAAAACGTTTTTTTTCTTAGTTAAAAAAACGTTTTAAAAACGTTCATGTATACGTATCTTATGATAAATTGATAATTCGCGATTGGGTTGCAAAGAAAAGCGAAAAATCATCTTCATAATATTTTTCATTAATTAACGGAATTTTATTTTTACAATTACTTATTTTAAATTTAACTGTTTTTATAATGGAGGAAAATTTCGTAATTAAATTTTAGGATGAAAATGACATTCTCGGTGATTATGATACCGACTCAAATTATCTGAATCACAAAATGTTAGAAAGTAAATTTTACTCCGTTGCTGATTGTTCGCAACATCTTAAACAAAATAAAAGCACTTTTTCAATTTTAAATATCAATATTCGAAGCTTGGATAAAAACATTGAAAATTTGAAAATATTATTAAATGAACTTAAACAATTTTTAACACTTTAAATGTCTGACGGAAACTTGGTGTAAAAGTGATTAAACAAATTATGAATTTCATCTAGTTAATTACGCATCAATTCACCAACCACGTGATGAAGGTGGGGGCGCTAGTATTTTTATCCACGATTCACTTAAATATATTTTACGTAACGACCTCTGTGTTAATGAAACAGATTGTAAATTATTATGCATTGAATTTGAATATATGCATTGAAATAACTTTATTCCAGCAATAATCAAATCAACTAGAGTTACAAAAAAGTCTTCTACTTGATAACATCATAACTAACAGTTTTTATAAAAGTCCTCTTTTCACAGGTATAATTCAGACTGATTTATCGGATCATTTTCTAACATTCTTAGCAACCAATAACATTTTAATTAACAATATTGCCACAAAATCCACAATATTTCGGCGACAGATCAATAAAAACTCCTCAAAGCATTTTAAATGCTGTAAAAAAAAAAATGTTGATTGAATTGAATTTTGCAATAAAGTGATGCTAACAATGCTTATATTTTGTTTCTTGGTCGATTTTGCAAGCAATATGAAATAGCGTTATCATAAGACGAATCATAAATACCAGAATAATCATAAATACCAAATCACTTCAAAGTCCCTGGATGTCAATAGGCTTACTAGAACCTTCAAAAAAAAAAAAAAAAATTATATATAAAGTATCTTAAAAAAAAATCTTTTAAAAATGAAATAACTTATAAAAATTACAAAAATATATTCGAAAAAATAAAAAGATACTCAAGAAAGCTTTTTTATGCTCAGTTATAAAAAAAACCCAGCGGAAACACTAAAATAGTATGGAATGTAATTTAAGATTTAATTGGAAAAAAATAATTACAAAAAAAACACTCTCCCAAAAAATCTTTTAATTAATGGAAAATTAGTTTATGATAAATCTATTATAGCTGAAGAACTAAACAACTACTTTGTTAATATTGGTCCAAAATTGGCTGCTAAAATTCCATCTAACTCCACTCCTTTTGATTCATATTTAAGAACTTATGAGAAACTTATGAACAAAACTAATTTAAAATTTAGCAAGCTGAGAGCTGCAAAAGTAAAAAAAGGTTTTGATAAAATTTAGTGCTTAGCAGTCTCAAAAGTAAAAAAAGGTTTTGATAAAATTAGTATTGATATTGTTAAATCAGTATTTGATATTATTGAACCTTCTTTATTTCATGTTTTTGATCTTTCATTTAAAACAGGTAATGTTCCTGACAAACTAAAAATTGCCCGTATAACACCAATTTTTAAATCTGGAGATAAGTTTAATATCTTTAACTGCAGACCCAGATCCATACTACCTTGCTTTTCAAAATTGCTAGAGAGAATAATTTATAATAGGTTATATAATTATCTAACTGAGAAAAACATGTTGTATTGCTAAAATAGTTTAAAAAATAAAATTCAACTAAACATGCAATAGTTGACCTTTCTAATCAAATATCTAACACCTTTGATAATGACTGTTATACATTTGGAGTTTTCATTGATCTGTCAAAAGCTTTTGATACCGTAAATCACAATATTCTAATAAAAAAACTTGAAAACTACGGAGTGAAAAATAAAAACTTACTTTGGTTCAAAGGGTATCTGACAAAAAGCAATTTTTATATTATGATCAAACTAACACTACTCTATATTCCATAACTTGCGGGGCTCCCTAGGGCTCAATTTTAGAACCACTCTTATCAATATTGTACATAATTGACTTATACCAAGCAACAAATCATTTAGATCTAATTTTGTTTGCTGATGATTCCAGTCTTTTTTATT